AAAAATGTGTACAACAACATTTTTATACCCCCGCTCAAAAGGAGAGGGGGTATACTGTTTTACCCTTCGGTGTCTGTCTGTGTGTGTGTGTGTCTGTCCGTAACAAATTTTTCGTCGTAATTTTCTCAGCAACTACTCATGGCAGGTGCTTCAAATTTTAGCACACTTTTTGTTTAGGCATGCCATATGGTGGGATTCATTTTTGTATGAATCCGATGTCAACTTCCTGTTTATTTGCGAGTCTGTCCGTACCATACATAACAAATTTTTGTTGCAGTTTTCTCAGCAACTACTCATGGCAGATGCTTTAAATTTTAGCACACCCTTTGTTTAGGCATGCCATATGGGATATTCATTTTTGTACGAATCCGAATAGTCGAATACCCCTCCGTCTGTCTGTACAATATGTATATTTGTTGCAGTTTTTTCAGCAACTACTCATTGCAGATGCATGAATTTTTAGCATACTCTTTGTTGAGGCATGCCATATGGTGGGATTCATTTTTGTACGAATCTGATGTCAACTTCCTGTTCATCAATGTGTCTGTCGGTAACTGAACTTGTGTATATTCACAACTTCACTACATAGCGGGGGTATTACTAGTGAGCATTGGCTCAAAGACTTCTTGTTTTTTAAGTGACTGCAACCTTGAAATTGTGACTTATAGAGTGATGTACAAGGGAAACGAATTCTAACATTTTTTACAGGTGACACATACTTTTGAACACTTATTGTTCATATACTGCTCATCTTTGGATTGAATCTTGTTTTTTTTTTTTAAATCCCCTCTTCATGGATTTACCAGCTCATTTTTTACAGTTAAACTAAGCATTAAACTTTTCATTCAGTGACACCTGAATCTGTCTATTTCTCATTTTTTCAACTTCAACTAAAATTGGCATAATTTACTTCAAAAAAGGGCTATGTATATTCAGAGAAATAAAACTAATAAAGAGAACATATTGCATTGAGTGCATTGAAATTTGTTCAAGTTGTTGTCCATAAAGGCAGGTAAGGCCAAAATAAAGATTTATGGGTTAAATGGTATGGAACAACAAAGCTTGGAATCACACTAGGAGGGGTACAACATTTTATAATCTCTCCTAAGAACTATACATTGTAAACTTTAAGGTTTACATATTGAGGATTTAAATCAATGAAAAGGTGCTTTTTTGGTCAGGACCACAAGGGGTCATTTGTCAGGGGTGTTGTGGCTCATGGGCCTGTTAAAATTATTCCATGCATACTAATTTATTCATATTAAAGGTGTTTTAAAATAAAATAGACTAATATTTATAATTCATATAATTTTTACTGAATTCATGTCTGCTAAATTTTGAGTGATAACATTGATAAATATGATTGTACTCTGTGTTTGCCTCTGTTTATAATGATTCTCTTCTTTGTGTCCAATTCACAGTGTTACATATTGTTAACAAGTCTGTGATAAGCCCCCTCCATTGTTTGGTGTTACAACAATTAAATAAGTTGTATCTTATGAGTTGTTTTTTTTTATTAGAAATTTCAGTTTGTCCTATTCCAGTGTGAGGGGTCTTACTGTCAAAAATAGTTGTTGAATAAATATGGCAACCCCTTAACACTGTAATGAAATGCCTTTTTGAGAATTCTACATTTATGATACTTTCAAGCAAGGTATTACTATCTTTTGAAATGGTATTTTAGATTACTGGAGCAAATTAAAGATGTTTGTCTTTCTTTTGTGACATTTCATATTAAAAAATTCTCTCCAAGATCACTGAACCAGTTTACCCAAACCAATTACAGTGTACTTTACTGAAGGGAGATATATGAGGGAGTATGTAGAAGTTCTTGTTAAGTTCTTGAAAAATCCGTACACAATTCAGTGTGTAAAATAATGGCCCAACAATTAGTATGAAAAACGTCAGTCAGCATATGACTTAATGATAGATTGTTTTTGCTGACAAGGTCATTGTATTGACCACACTAAATCATATTAAGAAGCAAAACATACCCAAATGTGTGGAATCTTTTTTTTTAATTATAAATCCTGGGATTATATAGGGTTGGGCAAAAATCAAAGATTCAAATTTTACATAATGCATGTATACAGAAAAAAAAAATCAACCCCAGAATATACAATTGTGGCGGTCAGATGGGTTCGATCGCCGGTGGCCAGATAACTCAGTTGGTAGAGCACCTGACTGGAGATTCAGGGGGCCCGGGTTCGAATCCCGGTCTGGTCCGCTGCATTTTTCTCCTCTCCCGTTACATTTGGTGCCGTGTCATGCCCTGGAAGTGACAGGTGAAAGACCTGTCAGGGAAGAGCCTGGGTTGGTGTCTTCGGGGGCCGAAGACCTTTAAGGAGGGAGGAATGTGGCGGTCAGATGGATTCAATCGCCGGTGGCCAGATAGCTCAGTTGGTAGAGCACATGACTGGAGATTCAGGGGGCCCAGGTTCGAATACCGGTCTGATCCGCTGCATTTTTCTCCTCTCCCGTTACACAATGAAACACACTGAAGTGGTAAAGTTTTTCGTTTTAACAGAAAGTTTGGATCTTTCTTATCAAATGTCAATTGTGACATAATGACACGCCCATTTCTTTAGAAACAAGAAAGAAATATTCATCGTAATGCTTTAAGACACCCCACTCTCTGTGACTAGCAACATGAGTTACACTGAATTTGAGATTTTATGATGTTAGGAGAGAGAGTTAAAGATTCAATCTCTACTTCTATAAAACACACATTACCTAATTATGAATTTATCATGTTTATTGGAGTGGTGTTTTTGTCGACTGTCAATTTGACTGGCTATTGTATTTATGGAATACCTGTTGAACAGGTAACTATTCAAATGAACCATTTGACCACTGTTTTTTCCTTTCTAAAGAAATGGGCATGTCATTACATGACAATCAACGTTCTAAAGAAAGCTCAAAACGTTCCATTAAAACAGAAAATTTTACCACTTCAATGCGCTTCATTGTAGCAGGGCCATGTTGGTTGTGTTAAACCTTGAAGATTGAGCTACTTTTCAAAAAATTTAATCTTGGTCTTTCATTTATTTTCACATGTGCATTACTTGTGACAAGACATTTACAAACTCCTTGAACATTTTGCACCAGAGCATATTACTCCCAAAATATAGAACATTTTAGCTCTTCTGAGGCAAAGGCTCAAAGAGCTTGTGCTATGGCCTTTTGTGCAGCATTTATTTACTTTTTAGAATATGGGCCATATCTCAAGAACCCTTTGGTTAATTTTTGTCAAATTTGTCACAAAGTATCCTTGGCCCAAGGGCTCTCATATACTAAAACTAGGGATGTGACCCTTAAACAAGGGGAGATAATTAGGAAAATAAACATGATAAAAACAAAAGTACATGTACTGGTTAGAAAATCTTCTCAAGATGTAGATTAAAAATTGTTCAAGGCATCACTCTTGGGCAAAGGGTGTGGTCTGACGGCCACTTCAAAGTTGGCAAAAAATTGTATTTTGTTTAAATTTTAATATTTTGCTTACTATAAGAACTAACATCATTAAATCTTGTCAGTTGATGCATCATTGGACCTCATATCATGTTGACTCAAAATTAGGTCATGGTGACCTACTTTTTGAATTTTGAATGCATTCATTTTCAGTTTCATTTTAAAATGATGCATATCTTGACCATTTGAAGCCTAAGATCATCAAAACTTGTCAGTTTATGCATTATGGAGCCTTAAAGTGTGTCAACTAAACAGTAGGGCACTGTGTCCTACTTTGTGAATTTTACGGGTTTTCATTTTCAAATTATTTAAGGCCATTTTTTCGTAAACTGAGAGGTTTAGAATCATCAAACCATGTAAGTTGATGCACTGGGCCTTTAAACAAGTTTTTCATAAAGTAGGTCACAGTGACCTACTTTTTGAATTTTGTAGGCATTCATTTTCAAATTGTTTCACATGTAGAAGCATATTTTGGACACTTTGAAGCATATGATCATCAAACCTTGTCCATTGATGATTCCTAAGGCCTCAAAGTATTTAAACCAAAAAGTAGGTCACAGTGACCTACTTTTGGAATTTTATGGCTTTATTTAGATATTTTAGGTACTAATTGGCATAGCATCAACAAACTTTGATAGTTGCACCAACTAGTTGCAACAATCTTGGGTCCCCAGAATATGTCAACTGAAAAGTAGGTCACTTTGACCTACTTTTGAAATTTTATGACTGTATTTAAAAATTTCAGATACTATGTGGCTTAGCATCATCAAACTTTGTCAGTTGATGCATCTTAGGTCCTTGAAGTGTGTCAACTGAAAAATATGTCACAGTGACCTACTTTTGGAATTTTATGGCTATATTTAAATATTTTAGATACTAATTGGCTTAGAATCATCAAACTTTGTTAGTTGATGCATCCTGAGTCCTCAAAATATGTCAGCTGAAAAGTAGGTAACCATGACCTACTTTTGGAATTTTATGGCAATATTTAAATACATCAGATACTACTTGGCTAAGAATCGTCAAACTTTGTCAGTTGATGTTTTTTGGGTCCTTGGAGTGTGTCAACTGAAAAGCAGTTCACTTAGAATTTTATTTCAGATACTTATTTTCTTAGAATTATCAAACTTTGTCAGTTGATGCACTTTGGGTCCTCAGAATGTGTCAACTAAAAAGTAGGTCACAGTGACATACTTCTGGAATTTCAATGCAATATTTAAATATTTAATATAAGAAGCTTAGAATCATCAAACTTTTTCAGTTGATGCATTTTTGGGTCTCGGAGTGTTTACCAAATATAGGTCACCATGATCTACTTTGGAATTTCATGGCTATATCTGAAAATGTAAGATAATAAAGGGCTTTGGTTCATCAAGCTTTCTCAGAGTGTTTTAACCAAAATGTAGATCAAGATGTCCTACTTTTCGATTTTCAAGACTTGAAGTAGGAGTGATCGATTGTATAATTTATTAGAAGAGTGATTCAAGGCCCTCTTGTTTTTAAGCATGATGGATAAACAAGCCAAGACAAACAAGATAGATACAATTTTATTCCAACCAGTAAGACACCAAAAGCAACCACAATTCTCTAAACTGATTTTGATTACCAAGTTGAAGTCACCACAGACTTTGAGATATATCCCTCAGGCAATGCCTAAGACAAATCTATAGAGCAAATCTCCCATACCAGATTCTAAGGATTATTGGTGTGTCTCATTGTTCCTTGATCACTTGGTAAGCAAGATTCAGTCCTGTCTTCTTGACACATAGAACCATGTAAATGCAAAATATCTCTTGCCAAGGAAAATAGACAAATCTAATCGACACAAAAGTTTGTAACCTTTTAACTGCCTATGCCTCAGATATTGACAAGAATGGACTGAGAAAAGAGATAACTAGATGGAAATAAATTTCTATAGAATTTATGCATTTCACTATATAACCAACAGAGCACCATCCTAATAGTATGAAGTATAGTAATAGTATGAAATTCATGTGTATATTTTTGAACTTGCAATATGTCATTAAAGATCATTCATTGACTATTTCAATAATTTCAACAGCAATGTCAATCTCTTTTTGAGTAGCTTCGTAAGCTTCTATGGTTCCGTCATCATGGATGATGCACCCCGGAAGGTAACGATTCACGTTCTCTGTCATCATTGCCTTTACATCAATTTTTGCCCGAATCCTCTTTTCATACCTTCAAATAATTATCAATTTTCTTTGATCAGTATTTCTTTTAGAAATTTAAGCTTTCTAACAGAATGTTCAGCCAGATAACAAAGAGATTAGCCTACCATTTAATGCAAGGCATACAGACAATACAGCAAGGACATCCGGTACCAAACAATGCAATACAGCGCTTAGGATCCTTGATAAAACAGTAACATATAAAGGAGAATCCAGCCACAGATAAGAGAGTCATTCCCAAGTACCGTAGCAGGTCAGCTTGCCTCTCTCCAGCTTTCTTATTGAGCCCATCAACGTCCTCATTTGTTATCACCTATTATAACAAAACTCTGATTTAATTAAATGAATACAGTTCTATATATATCAGCCCAAACGGAAATATTTTTAAACAAACTACTAATAAAACATCAACAAACTACCAACAAACTATACTTTCATGATTTGTTAAAGTAGTTTGATAGTCTAGCATTTAATGAAACACTAGTATTAACTAAGCACTGTTTCTAAAAATAACTAATTAAAGTGGTTTGTTAGTCTTTCATTTCTGCTAATTGTGATTTCTTTATAGTTTATTAGACTTGGTATCTTACAACAGTGTTTTCTTAGTATAGCATTTGCATCTAAGGCCAAAAAAAAAAAAGTCTTGTTTCCTGCTACCAGCCTGAAAAAAAAAAAATAGGGTAGGTAGGTAGGAAAATTACTTTAATTTTTTTTAATTTTATTTTTTTCCAATGGTATTTTTTGGATATGAACTAATACAAAACCAAATTAAACATGTCATAGGTCAATATTATCTTTTAAAATTAAATTTCATGTCTTTTGATGCACAACTCAAGTGGTATTTTATGAAAGTCCATATTTAAAACATACAATTTCATGCAATACCACTTGAATATATATTTTTTTCAATTTTTGAAAATGAAATTCCTGAAATTTCCGATTTTTTATTCCAAAACTAAAAAAAACCTTTTGGGTCAGGTGCAAAAAAATAGGGTCGGTCGGGTAGCAGGAAACAGGACTATTATTTTTTTGGCCTAACCACATGGGAAATTATTTTACAGACATGTTTAGAGTTGAATTATCTAGAGTAGAACAGCTTATCTTTTTACATCCAGTGTTAGACTTGTTTTCATATTTGCACTGATTTTCAAACCATCAGCAGGTCAGAAACAAAGGAATTGGTGAAGGGACATACAAATTGTTAGTATATATTAGGTCCCTGTTTGGAGAAAGCAGCAATAATATATTAAAGCATGGATCTGGAGACAGAAGAGATATTTACTGCATGACATTAAGTTTTTTTTTTTTTACCTCAAATAAGGCTGGGCTACAGTAAACTTCATTGAATGCAGATATGTATATGTTTTTATTGGGTTTTATTTATTTTCAGACTGACTTATAATCCCTGTACTAGCTTAGATAATTTTAGCACTGGAATAATTAAGTGATGAATACTTGAAAATTAGACAAGAAAAGATCTTACAGAGTTGCAATAAGGCCAGGAAAAAGAAGATATTGCAGCATTTTCCATGCCAATTAAATGAAGCAGGGAATATCTAAATGTCAGCTAAAATACAATTACATGAAAAACATCTTTTTTGTGAAAAATTCTATAAAGATGTGATTAGAGAATACAATAATTGGCCCTTGACTTGAGAATTACATCTCCTAAACTAAAGGATTTAACTTAGTAATTAATGTTGGAAATTGTTGCACTTGCACTTCCATTGACTATATATTGTTTTCAATCCTGGAATATAAAATACTCTGAAACAATAATTAGCATTCAGAACATTTCAAAATGTGACTGTGTTTTGATGTTTTAAAGACTAGAATTACCTGGGTAGCGTTCAGAACATTTCAAAATGTGACTGTATTTAGATGTTTTTAAAGACTTGTGGATTTTTTAAAAAAAATTCAAATTTAGTGTTTTGTTGATGATTAATTGTTACCAGTGATTTGTTAGTAGTTTGTTAGAGTGGTTTGTTAGTAGTTTGTTAGAGTGGTTTGTTAGTAGTTTGTTGAGATGATTTCTTAGTAGTTTGTTAGAGTGGTTTGTTAGAAGAATTTGTTAGAGTGGTTAAGTTAGTAGTTTAATTGTTAGTTATAAGAGTGATTTGTTAGTAGTTTGTTGATGTGGTTTGTTAGTAGTTTGTTGATGTGGTTTGTTCATGGTTTGTAATAGTAGTTTGTTAGCTCATTTGCATCTACCACCAGGGGTCAGGATTTGAACAAACTTGAATCTACACTTTTTGAGGATGTTTCTGTGAAAATATGACTAATATATATGGCTTTGCTGTTCTTGAGAAAACAAGAATATTTCCAATATATATTCCTATATATATATATATATAAACCTATGATCCCCTGATTTGAACAAACCTGAATCTACACTATCTGATGATGCTTCTGTACTATTATGACTGATCATGGCTTTGCTTTTTGTAAGAAAATTTTTAAAAGATTTTTCTATATATTCTGTTAAATAATTTTGATCCCCTGTTGGGGTCCCCACCCTACCCCTAAATTTTTAGAAAAGAATCTCCAGTGCATGAGGTTCATGAAACTGGAGAATTCACTTTCCTAAATAAGTATGTGAAAGCTTGTCGGCTTGGCCAAGATCAGGTGCCCATGTTGGTTGCAGATTAACAAAAAAATGAAGTCCAATGAAATTTATTACAAGTATGTTCTATGTGACACTACATCCTTTTGGCAGATTTTCTGAAATTTCTGTCCATTTCTGTCAAGCGGTTAAAAAGATTTCACTCTTACTATAAGAGAGGCCCAAGTGGGCTACCGACTATACATAATCAGGCATAACATGTATCTTTATCATATTCAACTGAACAAAAAAAGTATAATTCAAATAAAAACTCTTCACAAAATATTGTCTGAGCAAAAATAATCACATAACTCATTTCCTTTAAATTGTTACAGCATATAAAGGACATGGGTAAATTTGTTAATCTTGGAGAGTTTTTCTACTCTTAATATTTGGACATTTGAAGAAAAAATACTTTGAAGTACTTTCATTTTTTCTAAAGAAACTGTATTTGGGGATGAAAATTTCAAACTTATTTGGTAATACTCAGAGAAAAACTGTGTCAGATATTTTTTGATTGACTATTTTGAGACCTAGGGCTACGGACTATACAGAGAGTATTTTTCATTTAATGATTAGACCATAGAAAAATAGTTGCTTGAATCAGAAAATAATTGTTAAAATTATCATCTTGGAGTTCACATGTGTTTAATAGATCCTTTCATTTAGATATTAAATCAATTTATGCAAAAATCCTGTAAATTTAACAAAATAAAACAAAAACTTCCTATAAATTCCCAATACGGGTAAAATATGAATTTTCAGAACAGAATACATGTAGTACATGTCAGAATTACATGTATAATTAGTGTTTTGATAACAAAATTTAGTCTATGACCATCTAAAGACCAAGAATGATCTTTAATTTAGCATCTTGGAAGGATGAATTTCATGTGAGCACTGGGGCTACAGACTATACCATTAAACATCTCTATTGTGGACAATCATCTTAAAGAAAATTAAATTTTGGGCATTTTTTTTTTATATTTATTTGGTTTTCTATAACAGTTCACACCACTTAGTTTGAGTATTTATAATACATGTATCATGTTTAAAGATTAATTGTCTAATGTACTGTGTACTTTCAATGCCAAATGAAATTCCAGTTCAACTAATTAAAGCATTATTGGTGTTCAAACTATGATGAATAAAAGCAACAGAAGGTGTAATTAAATCAAGGCATGATTTTTTTTTTCGGGGGGTGGGGGGGGGGTGTTACAGATTATATTGCTTTATATTTTTTTTTTTTTTTGATTTTATTTTAATGTAATACAAACAGCTCAAGTTGGTCATTCAAAAGGTGTATCAGTATATAATTTATGATCATGATCATATTCAATAAAAAAAATTACAAAACATGATTGACCATTTGAAGTAAAAAAAATTAATAATACAATATTTATCCATAAAGATTTTTTTTATTTTAAATTTTACAATTCAGTGACAAGTAGATTGGGTGGTGCAATTATAAGAGTGAAGGTCTCACTTTGTACTTAATTGAAAAGTAAGGAGTTGATCCTTATGTTTTGGGATCAAATCCCACATCCATGGGATGTTAAGACTGGTTGATGAGAACTACTAAACCATTGAAGCCCATTTTGCAGTAGATACAGGCAGGAAAAATATCTTGCTAATACAGAAGTACAGTTGTATGGTCTGTAACTTTGCTTAATTTATTTGTAGAGTCTGAAGCCCTTTTGTAAGTAGGATTTGAGTGGCCAAATATTCTTTTAAAATATTCCAATGCTAATTATTCGAAATAGATTGATAGTATGTATCAAAAGAAGGAAAACTTTATCATGTATATTTAGAAATATGTTGTGACCACAAACACAGCAGGACAGACTACAGAAGCAAGCCTTTATTTGAAAAATGTTAATTTTCAGACACTTTATCTTTAATTATAGTGGTATTTGTATTTAAAAACATTGCATTTGTTCGAATAAACATATTATTGTATTGTAGTTATTGTATCAATAATGTATATGACTTTTTCTGGACGTTATTATATTGGGGCTACGGACTATACAGGGCTACGGACACCAATCATTCTTCTATAACTTCTTTTGGTGTTAGCCCAAAAGCTATTCATTACTGTTTTTTTACTTCACTGGTAACTGTGAAAATATTAAACAAGAACATGATGAATTATACATTCTTTTGTTGAACACAGACTATAATGAAATATGGGGCTACGGACTATACAAAATATTAGACCAGTATGGAAAAAAAATACAAAATGTACACACATTTTACCATATAACCACTATATTTTTCTCATAGTGCTTTTCTTCTTAAGTAAAATAAAAAGTTTTAAACACATCATATTTGCTCATATTTTCCTAGAAATTACGCATTTATTCAAACGTTGATGAATCTTAAATTATATAACAAAGGTATATCTGTACAAATTTATTCATAATTTCCACAATTTTTATCCTTTTTCTTTTCTGTAAAAAATAAACTTAACCAGAATGATTTCTCTGTAATAATGTATATCTATTTTGGAATGTTTCATTCAAAATAATTTTAAATAACCATTTTTATAATGTAAAAAATCAAGTGCAACAGCATAACGCTTCAAAAATTATGAATCTTTGACTTTATTCTGTTGATTTTTCAAAGATGCAGATACTATATATATGATATTATATATCAATGGAAAGCTCTCATTCTGATCTTTGCAATACAACAAAAGACATTTAGATTAGATGTAACTGTAAAGAGTTATATCTATATAACATAATTCAGGTGGAAATGGGCACATGATCTTGGCCAAGCCGTTGTGTATAGTATACAAGCCTTTTCTCAATGATGGTGACTGAAAATTTGCATAAAAATAAGCTACTTGAAGGTTAAAGGGAGATAACTTTAGCACTTGACTCAATTTTCAAAGTTATACTCAATGCAGACTAAAATTGTATAAATGAATACAATATGATATAGATTATGAGACTTTACCTGGATGCTATCTGAATGATTTCTAGATCCTCCTGAGGAAGAGAGGTTTTTGGTTTCAAAATGAGCATCAGCTAAGGCATTGATGTCTATCTGTCGTCGGACTCTTGGTGGCCTAATTATCTGTGGTCCCTCCCTTGGTGGCCTACTTGTCTGTGGTCCCTCCCTCTGCTCTTCATCAGATAGATCCACTGAGGGCACAATCTGGTCCTCTATTCTTTGATCATTCCTGTCTATCTCTTGCATCTTTTTTAATAAGTCAGAAACATTTTTTTTTATTGGATTTGAATTTGAACCAAAGAATGGTGTCCTATTATAAAGATTGTTTAGCAGATCTTTTTGGTTTTTATTTATGATGTGAGAGTTACTATCCTCATTCTTTATTATGTTTGATTTTAACCTGGATCTCTGCATTCTATTTTCTTTTAACACAGATTTTATTTCATCCATCAATTTTTTGTCTCTGTAATCTTTGGGTATTCCATTTTTTTCAGTTGCTCCTCTCTGTCTGTAAATAACTGTTTCAGTTGCTCCTCTGTAAATGACTGTTGAGGTTTTATGTTCAGGATATCCATCACTAGTTTTTAGTACAGACTTAGAATCCCCAGGCACTGTATCATGTATATCAAACTGGCCATTTTGTGGATTAGAATCCATCATTTTTAACAGTTCTTCCCTTTCTTTCTTTATCATTGGATTACCTTCACTTTTATGGTGGAGAACATCTTTATTTGTGTGTGAGTTGTTATCAATGTTATGACTGGCTCTGTAGAGCAGCTCCTCGTAGATTAAATCCTTTTCTATAGCAATCCTCATTTCTGGGTCCACCATCTCAACAACATCCTGATCCCCACCCCCTGTGACAATACACAAAATACACAGCAGATTACTTCATATAAGGGTGAATTCAAAAAAAAAAAATGACCAAACGCATATTTATCAACCCACACTAAAAATACAGGCAATGAAAATAGATTTCTATGTCTCAGCATATGTCTTTAGATAGTGTCTAAATACCTGCCAAATATCTCGTTGATATCTCAATTAACAAAAAAGTTATGCCCAAAAATGATGTTAAAATTGTCAGGAGTGCAACACCTTTTTGTGACATTTTGAAATTTCAATATTTTTTGGAGATCTGTGAAATAAAAAATAATGCTTCATGTTGAAAATAAAGACTTTCCTGATAATATTCAAAGTATTGAGCTTTAAATGTGGACTGTTGAAACTTTTGTTTAATCAAGTTGTGGTCATGGCTGATGTTTAAAAAAATGTTATACCGTGTCAGGAGTGCAACAGAAAAAATGTAGTGTTGCCAAAAAAACATCAATTGTAAAATTCTGATCGAAAATTAAGACAAAAAGAATTTTGGAAGTGTAAAATAATAACTGATATACATTTTAAAACTTAAAAATGTTGTATAAATCACAAGCAGCATTAAAGAGAGTAAAGTATATGTGCATACCCAAAAATGTCAGGAGTGCAACATTTGATGTTTTGCTTCCAAGCATGAAAAAACTTTTATCATTATATGATTTTCTGATTTTTATTTTGGAAAATAAAGACACAAAGAACATTTTTACCAAATAAATTAATCAATTACAGGATCTGTCTGTGCTTCAGATCCATATTTCTATGGTCAGGAGTGCAACACATTTTTTTTTAAAGATTCAAGTTCTGTGACGAAAACACTTCTATTCATGCTTAGAAGTATTCATTAATTAATAATGATCTTTTTGTATAATTTAATGCTATATTATTGACAGTTTTATTATCAAAATCCTTCCTTTTTCAATTTTCTCAATTCAGATGTGTTTTTATCTTTTTTGTGATTTTTTTAATGAACGTTAAAAATAAACACACTAAAACATTGTCATAAAATTCAAGTAATTCCTCCTCAACTTCACTGAAACAACAGAACAAGTTCTTATGTAATTTTCACTTCACAATTCTACTTTAAAGGCCCCAATGCTTTTGGTCAGGAGTGCAACAAGTATGTTAGAATTATAAATCATCCAATAAGAATAAAAATAAAGAAAAAATGATGAGTAGAATTTTTCTGGTGGGTTACTGTGTTCATCTTCTAAAGAAAAATATGCTTTAAAATATATTTTATCTTCTAAATATACATTTAAGCTAGTTTTTTGGCATAAAATAGGGTATAATTCAAGATAAAATGCGAATTTTGAATACTTTCATCTGTTTTAATTAAGAAGTATTGGACTATAAGTATTGCACAATTTCATTACCACTTGATGTTGCCAACACTTTATGAATTTTTGTGTTCTATGGTTTTAATTTTAAACTTTACTGCAGTCAGGAGTGCAACAAAACTGCTTCATAATTACCGATGCTTTTTAACTATCTTTTCTAAAAAATAAGTTGAAATAAAATGCTTGATACTATTTGATGTTCAAAACACTATGTCTATCAACAAATTACAGAAATGCTACAGTCAATTCAGGGAATAGTTTTCATCATATCACATATATATTTTAAATACATTCTATATATATTACACTTTGCAAATAATCATGTTTTAAGGTCTTCAAAATATGAAAAATCTGCTGTAAACGATGAAAAATATCAACACGACAAATTGATTTACAAAGTAAGAATAGATTATTGTGTGTTATAATTTTTAAAACAATGTTAAATAAAATACATATCAGATGTCAGGAGTGCAACACAATAATGTAACATAGGGTCACTTCAAAATCTAGTATTTTTTGTAAGAGAACTCGTATATAACAATTCTTTTTTGGCTCAGATTTAAAGAATTGACTTGAACGGACAAAAAAGTGAATTTTGGGGAATTTTATTGCTTCATATTTTTTTCATATTAAAACTTTTCAAACCAGAATTGAAAAAAATAATGTAAAATTACAATCAAAAAGCCAATTTTTTGTCACATGTACAAGAGAAGATACCCATTTAAGGTCTAGATTTAATCATTTATACCCCTTTTACCATTTTGAAGCATAAAAAACTATAATTTCTTGTGATTATGTATTTTAGAAAGTCTTTTAAGGAGTAATGATATTTTCTTTTTTCAAAAGAAATTTTACTAATAAAAATTCTGAAACTTTTTAATCCAATTGTCTATTCTATTGCCACTTCAGGATTTTAAACTAGAATGCATTTGCAATATGATGATATAAGTGAAAAATATGTTATTAGTAGTTGAATTTTGCCAAAAAAATTCAGTTTGGTGGTCATTATTTTTGAATTCACCCATAAAATAGTTAATATTAACTTACTTATTTCCATTACAATAATTATATACCATTTGATGAACTTCTTTGAAATAAAAATTTAAAATCTTCCGTCTTCTTAAATTAGCAATTGCATGCAAATAGACTTAGATAATTATATATATAAGCTAGAGTTAAATATATATTTTTCACTATTTTTCTGGAATAGAAACATCATTTTAAGTCTTAATTTATTGTTTGTTTTCAGGTCAGCAGAGCCAAAGACTTTAAAAGTGAATGTTTCTATTCAAAATAGTTTTGCAGCTGTCTCTCTCTCTCTCTCTCTCGTGTTCTTGTGACTGTTAATCCCTCTGTCTGCAGCTGTGAACTTTTCTTTTTCTTTTACTTCAACCTCACGACCACTGAGCCAATTTCAACCAAATTTTTATACATGTATATACCAGACCTGCCTATTAACCTTTTTCTTGCAGAGGTGTAATCTAAAGCCTTACAGCATTTTGGTGTCAACAGTGTAATACTTGATTCTTAATTCCTCTTTAGTCGTGCAATAATTCTATATATAACTGAAATAAGTCTTTATGTTGTAAATGAAAAAATGAAGAACATAAAAACTATATTCAAATAATTTATTAACCAGGTTTTCCGTAAGAAAAAAAATCTGGTTATTGAAATGGTGAAATTGGCAGGCTGGGGCTGCCAAAATGGTACATCATTTGTCCAGATAACTCCTCCTACAGTTTTCAAGATAAGAATATTTATTTATTTTGCAGATCAATTGTACATATATCAGAGATGTGCATAACTTTTGGATTTGGATTTTTAATAATCTATGAGAACCAGACGTCTCTTATGAGATGGTAGCTCTACTGGTTTGTACTTATAACAGAGGAAAAGTAAAGTAGCACTTGGACTTGAAACTTTGCAATAAACAGAGTAATGATTCTTGGTTTAGTCTCTTTTTGTAGCAACATTTATTGCAATCAGACTAAAACTAGGAAGAGTAACTTCTTAAAAGATTTTTTTCAGAAATTTTGATTTTAGTAACCATGGCAACATCATTCATCAAAATAAAAAAAACACTGATAAAGACAATTATGTATCTCAGTGTAGTCTATTTGCATGCCAAGTTACATTGAAATTAAAGCAAAACTATAGAAGGAGTAACATTTTGAATGCATTTCACAGAAATTTGTACTTTTAGTAACAATAGCAACATGGCCACCAAAATCAAACACTGATGCACTAAGTTATGTATCTTAGTGTAGTCTACTGCCAAGTTATATTGAAATCAAACCAAAACTGTAGGAGGAGTAGCGTTTTAAAGGAATTTCATAGAAATTTCTATTTTTAGTAACCATGGCAACACCGTTCATTAAAATCAAAAACCAATGCACTAAGATATGTACCTTAGTTGTAATGAAATCAGACCAAAACTGTAGGAGGAGTATTGTTTTGAAAAATTGTTTACAGACAGACAGCTAGACAGACGGACGACGGACACTTTACTATCGCATAAGCTCTTCTGGTGTCTAACCAGTAGAGCTAAAAATACCAGCTTTTAAGCTTAGACATTTTTATGCAAAATATTGCATATAAGATACCTCATTTATTCAGATCGATAACTCCTCCTATATAAGAAAATTTTATTTTGCAGATCATTTGTACACATATCAAATATGTGCATATATGTAAGGAAGCATATTTAGGACCTATCCAAAGATATTTTTGAATTCGCAGGGATTTATCATTACCCCACCTCTGATGATTTTTCGATGAAATCCTTGCTTCCGATTGGTTGAAGTCTGTCACGTGAAGGGGGTGTATTACTTATACCTAGTTGCTTGAAAATCAATACATGCTTGATGCGGAGTTATCGTTCTTTTGTAACACTTCAAACAACTCGAGTTCACGAGGTTTGCGGGTGTCTGTTGATAAGTAAAAAGTTAATCAACTTAAGTAACGAGATGGAACCTTTTTCTCACTTTACTAAAAGTCTTCGAAACTGTCAGTACGTTATGAAACACTCGCAAAACAACATTACGTAACACAACGTGACGTCATAATAGGCATTGTATGATTGATGAAACATATAGCGGAGAAAAACAATTTTACAAACCACAGACCATAAACATTTCATCGGTGGGGTAAATTCGTTAAATAGTTTTGTAGTGACAGGGTATGGGATGATACCTGGTTAGTAAATTTCATACCTGGCTCGGCTTCGCCTCGCCAGGTATGAAATTTACTAACCAGGTATCATCCCGTACCCTGTCACTACAAAACTATGTAACTAATAATACCTTCTCAGGGGCCGAAATTCGGCCCCATTCCCAATTGAAAATGAGTTCAGTTTTTCCCAATTTGGCAGTATTTTTTCCCAATTGGTGAACAATGCTTTTATATCTAATTATCTTGGAAAAACACAAAGTAAAATTGTCAGATTGTCTGTAATTTTCATCTATTTAACTCATTTAGCAAAGCTACAGTCATAACACGTTTAAAAACACTGCAAAAACATTGCCAACTTTTAATCAGGTTTAATGTTTCTTTCTTCATTCATTCTAAACATACAATAGAGTTAAAAAAATTCTGCCATATTTTATACAAAAAAAGAGGCGTTTTGCAAAGGATTTATGATTTAT